GGATGATGTTGTTGTCCATGAGCAGGAAGAGCAGGAGGGGGAGCTGGATGAGGACCGAGAGCAGGAGGAACCCCGCGAGCTCAGGCACCTGTGGAAGCAGGAGATGGGACCCAAATGGCCTCTCTAGGCACCACTCCAGGGACCCTGGCTCAGGAAATGGAAGCGTGAGGCACGTGCAGAGCCCTGTCCGGAGGATGGGACATGGGGGGGTTTCAGCAGTGTGACCAAGCCCTGCTCCTCCCAGACCTCCTTGGAGGTCTCTTTTCCAACCCAACTAGCTGGGAAACCGTCCCCAGACATTGGCCTATGCAGTCGAGTATCCCGCAACACCCTGTTCCTCACTGGCGAGCTCCAGGCGGGTTCCAAGGATGTTGCAGATAGTTAGGGAACGGCGGCCGGAAGATATCGTGCTGTACGGAAAGATAGGGCCCCTAATAGCCAATAGTGTTTAGTCTATGGTGTAAGCAGACGGATGTGACGTTGTAAACCTAGCTATATAACACCTTGTTACCCATCAGTAAAGGCCATTTTGCCGTCCACCACATTGGTGTCAACTAGCTGATGGCCCGAGTGGCTTGGGGGTGGTCGCCGTGCCGTCCCTGAACCAGGTCGCTGCAGCCGTTTGAACTGCAACACAAGGAGGCACTGGAGGTGACAGCAGCGTAAGCACAGGCAAAGGGGCCATCCAGAGGGGCCCCGGCTCTCCCTGCACAACCCACCGCCCGTCTTGCGGAGCGACACGGAGCTGCGCTGACCTTCTCCTGCAGGTTCCCTATGTAGCCGAGGAAGAGGCGGAGGCCTTCACCTAGCGAGAGGAGGAGGAAGGCGGCGAGCAGCAGCAGCTGGTAGTAGTGCGGCAGCAGGCTGAACTGCGGCAGGGCGGCCCGTGAGTGCAGGCACGCCGCGGCCTGCAGCGCCTACTCACGCGCAGGGACCTGCAACCTCCCTGCGCTGGAAACGGGGTGTTGTGCTCATCATGGTGAGTGCAGGAACCTGTCCCTTTCAGAGCCTTCCCCTCAGCCCTCCCTTGGTCCAGCCCCTCTGCCCTGCCCAGCCAGGCCGTACAGGAGGAGGCTGGCAGTGCCCGGCCTCCCCGCTCAGCCCGGTACCTTCTGCAGCAGCATCGTCCCCTCGGCCATGCACCAGAGCGGGAAGTAGAGGACGTTGAAGTAGAGCAGCATCTGCAGGGGCAGGCTGGCCAGCACCTCGCGCGCTGGGCAGCGCCCGGGTGGGACAGTCAACCCCAAGGCTGCCTTGTCCCCAGGGCGCCCACGCAGCCCTGGCCGCGCTGGCGACCTCTGGGGGAGCCCTGGCCACGAGGGCCAAGCCAGACAGCCCCGAGCCCTCCTCCATACCTGGGCAGTAGATGCGGGCAGAGCCGCTGTCCTGGGTCTTGTTGTTGGCGAACAGGGAGCTGCTGAGGGCGGCCAGGCCCCAGCGGATGTTGCGGGGCAGAGGGAGGTGCGCAGCCATGGCCGGCTCGGTGCTCCGCTCGCTGCCTGCCCAGCTCCCGCGGGATTAGCCACAAGGTGATTAAGTAAATGACAAGAAGGGCTAATGCCTGGGGCCACCCGGCCATTGGCTCCAAGGGGACAAGGCTGGGGCTGGGACACCAAGCTCTTGCTGCCAGGGCACATCTGGCTGCTCCGCGGGACAGCGTCCACCCTGGTCACCCCTCTTGGGCTAGTTGGTTCTGCAGCCGCAGGCCGAGCCGGCCAGCACTGTCCCCCTCTCCTAACGTCCCTGCGGGCTCAGGGGAGGTGCAGGGCACCAAGCTGCGCTCTGTAAGAAGCGATGGGTTTCGGTTGTGGGGATTTCTGCAGTTCCCCCGAGATGCTGGGGCTGATGGACCCGGAAGTGACAGCTGCTCAACCTCAGGGGCTCAGTGCATGGTCCTTTCCCTGGCTTCTCCATGCAGAGCCTCTTGGTGGCAGCATTGCACCTTGTCCTGCCTTGTAGCCAGGTCTTCACCCGCTCAGCATCCCTAGCCGAGATCCCCTTCACACCGGATCCAGGCTGATCCCCTCCCCCCACCTCCATCAGGAAAGCAGCCGGACACAGGGTTTGGGCGAGGGACGGAGCAGGGAGGGAAGCACAGCACTGCCTGGTTGGCCAAGTGGCCTTTATTGCCAAGGCGAGAGCTGCTGCGAGGCCGCGAGGCGCCCCCACCGCGCGACACTGCCCAGGCGTTATTGCTCACTGGAAACAGCCCCGCTGGGGCGCAGAGGCCCCACCGTGCCCAATGGCCGCTCTCCACCCACCAAGGCTGCTTGGAGGGTGGGAGCGGGGCAGGACACGCAGGTGGGACAAGCCGGGCCTCGCTGCGGGGCTGGGAGGGCACCCACCGTCCGCAGGGCCTCATGCGCTCCTGGGGACCAGGAGTCCCACGAGGCCAACAGAGCCCCCCCAGGCTGCTCTGCAGAAAGTCCGTCCTGATGCGGCAAGGCTGGCTGTGGTTTAGGGGATGCACGTTTTCCGTGGACAGCTGTTTTAGCGGTGACATTGAGGTGACAAAGGCAGACACAGGACGTCTCAGCGCTCCCAGACGCAGCGCGTTTCAAACTCCAGCGCTCTCCACCATGAGCTTCCCACCTGCCAGGCCCAGTCCCACTCCAGGACGCACAGGTGCCCACGCAGCTCAGCTCAGCACCACCACGCGGCACCCTCGGGACTGTCCCGCTGGGCCAGGTGACACTGGAGAGGCCTCTGTGTGCGAGGAGGTGACTGAGCTGGAAGGGAACTCCAGGCAAAGACCCTCTCTGGTCGCCACAGCTGGTCCTACTCAGTGGGCAGCTCCTCAACATCCTCAAATGCCAACTCTGCCTTGGAGAAGACATCCAGGCAGAGCCGCTGCTGAGGTCCCCTTTGTCCAGGCCTTCTGCAACAAATACTGGGAAAGCGTGGACCATAAAACGTGGACCATAAGGGCCTAGGACTGTCCAGTGGTATGAGAAGAAAATGAGAAGCCTTCTTTGTGATAAAAGCCAAAAGGAAGCTGTGGAGTTCACTGCCACAGGCAGCTGAGACATTGGAGGGGCTCAAAAAGCCTTTAGTTCAATTAATGATAAGGCTACATCCATCAAGGGCTTCTCTGCACAAACAGAGCACCTGTGTCTCAAGACAGAGCTAAGCTGGGTGATGCTAACAATGATGTGGCCTGTTTCTGAGATGCTTCCCTGAGCATTTGCACTTGGTCAGTACTGATGGTACCACAGCATGGCCCTGGACCCGGCTCAGAACAGCCTCCCTCCTGCTCGAACCTCATCAGTGAAATAAAACAAATAAATAATAATTTAAAAAAATGTTGAGCAAATTTCACAGGACATCTAAGCAGGTATGGAAAAATACTGCTTGCTGTAAGTATTGCTCTGTTATTGGATAAGGACGGAAGGATGCTGAGCTAATTAAGGATAATGGAATAGCAGGAAGGGCCACTAGGTCCTTCTAGTCTATATTTAGGGATGTCTCAACAGTACATCCAGAGATTGCACTGGCAAGGAATGAATCTCTATTGCGTTAGAGATGGTATTCAACAACAAGCAGCAACGCCAACCACCTCAAAACCTCAGAACTGGCACCAAAAACCCTCTTGTCTGGAGCCGGCTGCTCAGTGCAGGCCAATGCTTTAAAAAGCAGCGCTCAGCTAAGCAACATGCTAGCAACGAAACCGAAAGCACCTGGCTAAAACCTGGGCACCTTGGCTAAAGCTAGACTCAGTGCGGCAAAACATCCAGGCAAGGTTGTTTCTTCAGGAATGAGGCATTTTTGAGGGTCCGGTCACAGGTCGGGGATGGACTCGGAACACAAATACATGGCAGAAGAACTCGGTTATGGCAGGAGGATCTCTAAGAAGCCGTTAGGTGCTTCAAAAAGGTTTAACTTGAGGCTAATGTTCACTGCCAACAGGGTAGGCTGTGGAAGACACTAGCTTGTCACAGATTAAGCAGCAAGTTACGGTAGGCAATAAAGAGAAGCAGCCTTTAGCTCATGTAAAGCGGTCAAGAGCAAATGGAGTGGGTCACTCCCAGAGCACAGTTTTGGGAAGGCTGGAACACAGCAATTGGAGCTGCTAAGGATAACATTAAATGCTGTTGGCTGGCCAAGAGCAGAGAAAAATGAAAGGGTCTTAGAAGGATTTAAGCAGCATGATGGTAAAGGAAGCTGATGATGACAAGTCAGAGCAAGGAATTACTTAAATGATGCTTGCAGGCTTTGTGCTAACTGGAGGATGGGCCTAGGTCCATCTCTGCCCAGGGAAAACAGAGGGCTTGCAGGAGGGCTGCAGGGGACAGGGACATCTACATTTGCACCTTGGGGGCTAAAGCAAGTTTGTGACTCTTTGTGGGTTCAGCACTCACTGAAATGCCACAGTCCACAAGAAAGACCCTGTGTCACCATGCAGAGCACAGAGCAGAGCTCGCACGGGCACGCGGCGAGCCCCGCCCCATCGCTGCCTGCCAGCGCTGCCGGCTGCACCGCCTGGGAAAAGCCCTGCGCTGCGGAGGGAAGAGCCCACGGGAGGCCGGACAAACGCCCGGTGACACCGCCAGCCATGCAAACGTCACGACGGCTGGGAAGGAATAGGGACAGGCTGGAGAGAGGACACGAACAGACACCCTGCACAGAGGAGGCACAGGCATCACACGGGCCTCCTTGCCGAAATGCATTACCACTACCCTACACTGGGTAATAAAATAACTGATAAGGACCAAACTTGGGGGTGCCATCCAAGGGGGTTCTCCTACCGCTGCCAGCCCTGCTGGCTGGCAGAGACAGCGTCTGGCACCGGCCAGACCCTCTTCTGGGCTAGTGGCAAGGCCTTTCTTCCAGGGAGGGACAGAAAACGTGACAGCAGGGCACTGACATGGAAAACCAGCGTGAGAAATGTGGACTTGTCACTGGATGACAGGAAGACGAAATGACGAATGACAGCAGACAGCCAGAAATACTCCTCCAGTCACCACGCTGCTATTTTTTTCTTGAGCAACATTTCAGCAGCCTGGTTGATTATTCAGTAATCCTTTAGGAAGACAGCAATTAGGAGGCTGATTTGAAGGACAGGCGCCAGCCTCCCGAGCTGCAGTCCTGCCTGACAACCCTCCTCCTTGGCTCCGCTGCCTCTGCAGTGATGCTCAAGGTCCCGGGGCACTGGCAGGGCTGCTGCGTTGTCAAGAGCAGCAAGACACAAGCTGGAAATGCACAAGCACAAACGAGGGGCCAGAGAGAACTGGGAGCCTGACAACTGCTGGTGTGCCTAAGCAACATGAGATGGTGTGGCTGGGACCAAGCACTGGAGAGGGCTCTGGGGTGGTGACACAGAGCCATGAAGAGGCCACAAGATGAACTGCTGGAGACCTTGCCTTGAGCAGGGAGTCATCTGCACTGGGAGACCATGCAAGTGAGATGAGAAGAGCAATCCTGAGCAGCCTTTTCCATTGGTCCCCTTCAAAAACATGGCAAAGCCTCTACAAATCCTGGGAGGGAATTCTGGAGTGTGTTGGCACGAAGCATGGTGGGACTTACTGGAGGACGGACATACTTTGGGAAGGAGATAACATGCTTGGGAGCACAGGCTGCACACGGGGAGCAATGAAAGGCACTAGTGCTGCTCATGGGATCAGCAGATGTGCTTGGGGTAGAGGCTCTCACCATGCCACCCGGAACATCTCCCCTGCCTGCTTTCACAGGGTCTTCCCAGGCAGAGCAGCATGGAAGCAGGTACCTGCCTCCTTCCCTGGTGTCCCGCAGCCTGAGGAGGTCACAGCAGCCCCTCAGCAGCCATGCAGCACACATGCAGCACGCACGTCGAAGCCCGTTGTCTCTACGGTCCTGCTTTCTCGTGTTCCCACGGGAATGCCAAGGGCAGAGACCCGGCCCGGGTGGCCGCCGGGACGGAGGAGCTGGAGGCTCTCTGCGTGCAGACAGGAATTGCTGGGAAGGTAACTGCTCAGTGAAAGACACTGGGTTCATCTGAGTCTGAGCAAGGCAACGGCCCAGCTGCATTATCAGCAAGTTGGGGTGAGCCCCAAGTCCTCAAGGGCGACTGCAGCATCCGCAGAGAGCAGCGACATCCCGCACTAGGAGCCTTTTCCAGTCAGCCAAGACATATCTCCGGTTCTAGTGGAAAGACAAAACCAGAACTACTGTGAGACATTTCCCAGCTTCCTCACAGTGGGATTAACCAACGCTATTGGGTGCTTTAGGATCTGCCACCATCACTAGTCTCAGCCAGCATCAAGTTCAGATAGGCAAAGTGCATCAGCAACCACCACTCCATTAGTCTCCAACATGTTACTAAAATAGGGAAAAGCATGTATGTGGACATTGGATTCCGTTTAAAACTGAGCTCCAACAGTATTCATTAACTTAAGTCAACCCCTCCCAGCATACAGCTTCCATGTGGGAATTGGAGGCATTGCCCAAATGCCTTTGGGCAGGGAGAAGAAGGGCCATTATCCCTGTACTCCCAGCCA